TTAATGACCTGAGTACTTCAAGTCCTGTGCAAAAACGCATGATCGCACGGGTCCGCCTGGTGCGTTCCAGCCTGGATTTGACTTATGCTCCCACTCAGGAAAGCATCCTGGAGTCGTTACTGCCAGAAAATAGTCCTTTTTTTTGAATTTTTTTGAATTCGGAAAACTATACAACTGTACAGCCGCGGACTCTGGACTGTGCTCTTCAGTTAGTACCCTCTGTCTGTTCGGTGCTTGTGCACTACCTCTTTGAGAATTGCCCTAATGGTCTTTTACTTTCTCGCGGATACCACTCACTAATGCTCGACGCCTACCAGTTGTATGTTAAATGTTTTTTCAAATAAAAGAGGTTTTTATTTCCCTGTGGTACCATGCGCAAGAGATGCCCTTTCTGCCATAATGAATTTTTACATGACGGCAAAAAAACCGCATGCTAATGAATTTTTTTCTTGTTCTCAGTTTAGTGGTTCGAAAGGTCTGGTACAGCTGTACTCAGCGTATCGCAACAACTCAGTAACATCACTGATGTGGGATCCTCATACTGCTACACAACAGTCTTGTTATTCCTGGTACTATAGTGAGACATGAAGGAAAATTAGACAATGTCAATTTTTACAAAAAAGACATCTAGATTACAATTTGCTAACACTTTTCAAGAGGCGCAAAGCCTGAAAAGCCTGAAAAACATGAAAATGAAATACTTGATAATGAAATATAGCCCGTTAGATTTGTAAAAAATTTAATCTTAAAGTAATGAAAACTAAAAATGGATTATTTAATAATATTTGCGCAGACATTAATGCTATGTTGGGAAAGAGACGAAAGAAGCGAGCGAGTGAAGAGGAGGTAACTTTCTCTTCCCTCCCGGAGGCTATCCTCAAAATAGTACTGTAGTGTTGCTTACCATCGAACCGAACATCGAGCCGTGTGGTGACGATTTGGAAGGATCGGCGTTTGCCGATAATTCGCTCAACTTTTAGCGTTGCAGGCATCTGCAGCACTTCGGAATTCCATGCCCTGCAAACACGTCGCAGTGGCTCACGTCGCTCCAGCGGTAGATTCGAGAATATCAGTCGTAAAGTCGGCCTCAGCTGTGCCATATCACTCTCTAAAACTACATCAAATAATAGAAAAATTGGATAACAGAAACATATTTTTGTAATCGGGCACCACAATTCGCACTGATTTGAGCAAGAAACTGAAAAATGCAAAAAAAAAAAAAAAAATCAGCAATCAGTACCCATGGGAAGCAGCCATCGATGTGGAAACAAAATGAAGCTAACATTCAGTCTGGATGCTAAAATATATGTGTATATGTTTAGGTTACCCAAAGGTCAGTGGCAATAATAATAAAAACCTAGGAACTGAATCTGAAGTATTTATGCTATACGTAGAGACAAGGAAACATTGCAACTAACTTTTCTGGTTTCCGAGTTAGCAATTTCTAGGCCAAACTTTCATTTGTCTGTATATGAGATCCAGACGTGTGTGAAAACTGGTACCGCGTTTCTGGGATAGTAGTTAGCAACGGAACATACTGGCAAAATTTCTGCACCAAAAATTACCTAACTGCCAAGTTGAAATATTCGGACAGGCGCTTACACACACACACGCCCAAAAATGCACACACAGACATAAGGTGGATCGTTGCAGTATGCGTTTTACATTGCCCGGCCTGTGTTTACAGCTAAGAAATGAAACGAAGACTACATCTTAAAATGCTCCCCCTGGCACATTTCACTTAAAACCAATCCTTCTACTCTACTATTACATAAGTACACAAAGAAGCAGAATAAGAATACAACCTATGAGTGTGAACCCATGTGTTAAATCAAGATGACCTAGGTGTTAGGAGATCCTGGATGCGTCTGGGCGAAGTAGCAGTGGTCCCGTCACTGCAGAAACAACACCTCCCAGTGGCCCCAACGCATTGATCGATGCTTCTGAAACTTCGCTCCCGGAGACCCACTCACAATTATCTTGTTTGTTTACTCCTCCGCCCACCGACTCAAAAACAACACATGACTTGTTTTGTGGCTTTGAGGGCAGTCGGAATCCAATAACTATTTTGTTTTTAATAAAGCATGAATATGGAAGAAATCAAGAAAATATATTAAAAAGAAACAAATGATTTTTTTAGCCTTCTCATGCATACTCGAGCGTTTTTTTCTCTACTATTTTCAGTATACTTCACAGTTGCTAAAATCTACCCTTTAAATAACTTTTATAATTCTGCTTCAGCCTAATAAGCACCAAACATCAACCAAATAATAAATCAAATAATCCGGGACATGCTGCGCCATATTTTTTAAAATATATTTAAAATGCAGCGTTTCAACAAAATCGGTGCTATAAAAAAATAAATAGCGGAGCGCACCAGAGTAGCCGGTGCGAGGTGCGTTTTGCGCAGTTCTGTCCAGTGGACTTTTGCCTGCTAAGAATTTTCATTGCGAAGTGTTGTCTGGTTCCTGGGTTGCAAAACTTTTCGCTAAAAATTTCATGTGTCGGTACATAAAAGCTGAACTGGAAACCTTACACGGACGATACACCGTCCGAATTCCAGCCTCCCAGTTTCCGGCTGTCGCATATTTCAAGCTCCCAGTTTTCCGGCTGCCAGTGATTTTCATGTCAAAAAGTCTCACGTGATCGTACGTGAGACCGCGGCATGCTTGGGAGCTAAATTTCAGTTTATGAGGCATCTGCACAGGTACAAAACAGCCTCTTGGCCTCACAGCTGTTCTGGTTCCTAAGATAATAATTTTTCCTACCAAAACATTCAAATTCAGCTTTCATGTACATACAAGAGACCCAAGCGTATATGAAAGCTGAATTTGATTCTGCGGTGTCGCATGCTCTTAAAATTTCAGTTTTCTTTCTTTTATGGCTCCCAGAACAAATTGATTTTTCCCGCGGAAACTTTCACGGGGGCATAAGTGAGACTCAGGCTTGACTGGAAACTGGTTTTGAATTTACAGGGTCGCACATGGACAAGAGACATTTTCGTCAAATTTCAGCTTCCTAGCTTTCACGGTACCCAGGATAATACTTTCACATACGTAATGCCTAAGCGCACGGAAAAACTGAATTTAAAATTTCTGGGTCATGCATCGGTGGGGGACATACCCATGAAGTTTCAGCTTCCTTACTTCCGTGGTTTCCGAGATAATAATTTTCCCCACTAGAGCTTTCACGAGGCCCTAACTTGTTACCTGCAGGCATGAGAATGCTGAATTTGGATTTGCAAAGGTCACATACAGGCGGGAAACATTCTATTAAAGTTCCAGTGGCCTAGCTTCTGTGGTTCACGAGTTAAAAGTGCGAAACAAAATACACTCGGGCACACACACACACACACACACACACACACACACA